AGTTGTTTTAAAAGTCAGCAGTCTAAATTAAAGACGGTTTTGTGTCTTTTACACTTAGGTCACGCTTTCTTGATCTGAGGTAAACGCTTTCATTGTCCTACTCATGTTTTATTGGAAAAGAAATGCCTCAGCGAATGTATTTTTGGTGCTCAGAGAAGAGTGGGCTTTAAAGGCCTGCGAAATAGTTTGCCGAAAATTAAAACATAATTGGAGACGAAATTGCTCGATGCAGTCGCTAAGCAACGCACAGGCACTAAGCATCTTCATCAAATATTTTTTTCACGGGGCAACCATATAACGACTAAACTCTTTCTTCGTCAAAAATGTACGAGCCAATTCTGTTTATGTTTCCGCGTGTAATTCACACGTTTTAATTTCAGTAATCATGATGTACTGGTATTTCGATTAGTTTTCTGCGCACTTTAAATGAATATTGGCAAAAGTGGTGGCTTATAACGGCTTATACAAGGCCTCTCTCTCCGCCCAGCCTTTTCAAGTTGGCCTATATGAGAATCGCATTCCAACGACGATATATATTCCTGCACCAAACCAAAACCTTAAAGTGAAATCGTTGTCCTCAGTACGCACTCATACATGAACGCCTCTGTAAGTTTTAATGCATTTAGATTAATACAGAAGAAGGAACATTCTTAGCTATAGTGTATGGAACTGATTATCAAATAGGGAAATAGGTTATGCCTTTTTTCCTCAAGTTAGTTTTATACATAAAATCTGTAGTTATTTAATCGAATTGAAATCGAACATTACAATTTTAGCTATTAAAATACAAAGCGTGACAAAAAATACTAAAATCTAGGAATAAGGAAATTAAGTGCTCGTAAAATTCGATTTCAATGAGCTTCTTTTCCTAACTCTAAGTGATGTTAATAACTTATTCAAGATAGCTCTGTCTATTTAAGATTGTTTGACCTTCTGCATGCAAAATGTCCAGGTATTGCAGGTGCTATCCTTAATTCAAATTCTCGACTCTTTTAAATTAGAACAATGTTTAATTTTAAAGGGTGTAATTTTTTTTTGATAAATGCGGACGATGAACATAATATAATATCAATATGTAATTTATACAATACTGAACAAATAACACGCGTGTACTTATGCTTTTGTCTTAAAACGAAAATGCTTTGAAAATATAATTGTTTATTGAAAAAAATATGATTCCTCTTTTTTAATCCTGTGATGGTAAATAATATTATTTTCCATATTTTCTAATCAAGCGGCAGCAACAGTAACACGTTTTGGACAATTTAGTATATCTACGTTCCAATGCAATCAACGATCCCGTAGGGTCAGGGTGGTAAATCTAATTAACGTATTTCTAATTATGTAATTATTAATTACACGGCTAGCAAAGTATCAAAACAAAGCCTGGGACTTAGTCTTAATCGCAGATAACACGGCTTAATAACGCTATCAGTTTCATCGGTTAATTCCTGCGAGGGATGGAGCTAATTATCTCTCTTTGGGTTGGATTTCACTCCTAATCAGCCGTGCGCGAGTACTGGTTTTAATCACCTTTCTCACAACTAATTGAAACTGATGATCTAAACGATAGGTGGTTCACCGCTGCAAGTGAAGCTAAATTTCTGAAAGTGAAATATTCATCCATTCACAGTTATAGCACGGAGCGGTGTGGATTGCGACCCTCTCAAAAATCTGGTTTTCTCATTACAAAATTTCCAGGGTTTTTCAATTGATGTAATTGTAAAGAGTTTATGTGGGGCAAGATGGATTTTAAGTATTTCAACATACCTTGATCAAGCCGTTAATATATCAAGGATGTGGTATACTCTAATATTAAGGGCTGTGTCACGTTTTATCCGATTTGTGCAAGGTTAAGTTAATATTTTTACCAAGTGAAATATTTATATTGAGTCATACTATTTCAATAGGAGAATATTGAAGACATTATTGAAGATCTATCAATACATATTTCTCTCGTAACTCGTGTTCGCCTCTTGTTTAAAATAATTTCCAATTTGTACACTGACAATTTAAATAAATTTGGCCCACTTTATAACCTCACATATTTTTAGGACTTTTGAACAACTGTTATAGAAAAAGTTGTTATATAAATCGCAATTGCAAACAATCAAAGCTAAAAGCTTATCTCTTACAAATAGAATATAGAGAGAAATGCTTTCTAATTTTAAACGTCGCAAGTATTAAGGTTTGTTTTTTAAAATTGCTACCTAGCCACACTGAATGAGGCTACCAAATCTCAGCAATAGAATTCATTTTTATAGCTTAGTATGAAAAACGCTGGTATTACGGTTATCACACACTCACGAGTACACCCTATCACCATTACTATATGCTTCTCTTCACTGAGCCTGTGTGTCAAAATGTTTTGCAAAGCATCTCTACTACCCGTTACTGCTGTCATGCATCTTTCCACAGTCAACGTGACATATTTATGTTCGCTCGCTGTAAAGATGGACGACATAGCGACACTCATTTGACAACCCAACAGCTTGGAAAACAAAGTGTAAAGCTTGAGAAAATTCGTTCTTTTCAACATTGAAAGTCGGGTTGCTTTACTAGTTTGTCTATGTTTCAGGTAAATATTTATATCATCGGATAAGATCGACAGTGGTCATCGAAACTGACATTCAGGGTAAAAATTTGGCGTGTACGAAAATCAGCGAACCGTTGACGTGACAAATGGCGTGAGCACGTAATAAAATGCTCCATTGGCATCCTTATCTTCTTGTCGATAAGCTACACCGAGTTTTCACACAAACCAACAGTCAGGACAGATGTTTATGAAAAAAAGGCATGAAACTACGGTGTAAACAGTTTCTCTACACACCATCTTGTCAACATTTAGTCAACAATATTTTGAAAATCTGTAAAATCCTTAGGGAAAAATTCGGCCGCATATCAAGTTCGCAACCAGAACTTGTGCTTTCTTTTAGAATCAGGCCAACTTTTTTCAACCATGGGCCTGAATTAATGAGTTTTATATTAAAACTGATAACTCGTTTGGTTGGCCATATGTGAGTCGGTTTTAACATCTTAGCTTGTTTGTTTGTATAAATTATAGGATTTAAGATTTAACTAAATAACACCTTATTGTGTTATCATTCGCGGCAAGAGGCCTTTGATGAATGGTGCATTATTATTTTACAATACAAATCCAATACTAAATATTATCAATTTTCGTATGCTTATTATTTTAAGTGTCAAAATCTTACTCTATCAAAAATATAATTTTTAACAAAAAGACTGCACACATTTATATATATGATTAAACTAGACTATCTGACCAAGGAATGCGACTGTTAATTACTTTCCCTGCTCTTTTTTCAATTTTTAAAATCTTTTTTCTTTTGCATAATATTTTCGTTTTCATCTCTTTTCGCGCAGAACATTTCACGCACCTGCAGCATATTAGTAAGATATATACACAGCAGTGCAGAAATTATAAGGGGGGTTTTCTCATCCGGAAAATGACAGCCAAATCCATCAAAGTATATTCACTTAGTCTGCGTGCCTAACGTGATCACAGTTCAATTCATCTGATAAATCGAAGCCATCCGGGCAGCCCCGTAGTGGAAAGGGATGCCCTCCGTCAGACAGAACCGATCAATCTTGAAGAAACGCCGTCAAGCAGGTAGAAAACATAGCAGGAGAAGCCTTGTAAATTTTTACAAGTCTGCGGAATAACACCGTATACCGCCTGCACTGGACAGACGGGGCTGGGATATCAGTTCCAAAAGTCCCTTGTGAGTGTGTTTAAGAAGGGGCCATGAAATGGTCGGGGGAAAGGTTATGCTCGACACGAAACGCTCATGCTGTTGCATTGAGATTGTGAACAAATATTGCCTATTTTTCGTGTGTAAACGATATAGTTTATTTTCAAAATAATTCCCCTGGAGAACATCCAATATCTCCAACATTTCTGAGATTAAAAAATAAAGCATCACTGAATGCTTTCTAATGTTTCGACAATTTTTTTTTTTATCGTGAAACATGAAGAAATATTCAGCAATTTCAGTCTTGGACTTTGTTTACCCTGCAACCTGCGGCCGCATAATGATACTGCATTATTTCAAGACCGTTTCCCTACTGTTAACTTCGTGTTCGGTTCTCGTAGATATTTTGCATATTTAGCATTGTAGAAGGGTCTTGGCATATCCTCATTCCTACTAATGTGACGGTTTTGATTTTTAAGATAGACCAAGTTCTTGTGAATAGATATCTAAGCTGTTCGTTTACCATGATCAATTGTCCTCTAGAATCTTTTCGAGTTTTTCAAGAAATATATCTTGCTAAAAATACAAATACATAAATATGCCCTATACATTTTAAGCGTCAGCGTTGAACTGTGAAAGTGAGTGGCCACAAGGTTTATATATCAAGTAAATGAAAACGGAACATCATATCAATAAATTGCCAGGTTACGTTTACCAGAGCAAAAGAGAAAATCACTGACATAGAATTATTCAGAGCTCGACTTTGTTTCTTACCATTTGTCTGCCAGCAACTCACGAGACCGTGCCCTCCATTTTTTCCCGATCAGTCATCTCACACATCAACACAACCAGTGTAACGTATGCCTCGGTCTTAAGTCGCTACCAGTTTGTTTTTACCAAAACATGGGTTCTTTAATTTTTCTACACCATCTGGTTGCCATCGTTGGGCGGTCGAAATCGCTCGTTCAAATAAAATATACGCGCTCAAATAAAGATGAGGCGTTCTCCTTACCCCTTAACAATGAGGCACTGACGTTTCTTTTGGTTGTAGACCTATCAGCGCGATTTTACGGGCATTTTTATGCTTACATTCCGAGTGAGTTGCATTTGAGTGGTGTTTAACTATTTACTCTATTAACTCGTAAGAACGGCGGCCAAGCAATCACCAAGTGATATAAAAATAAGTAGCCGTAAAGAAATCGTGCCAAGCGAAACCTCACGGAACGCTTACGATGGCGGTGAGTCGGGGTACCTATAAACTACCACTAAGTGAACCCTGCTTACCCATAAGACGCGGCTGAAGACACAAGGCCAGGATGGTGCCGTAAGAGGTGGAGTCTGACAGGGGATGGCCGTCTTACTGAAGTTATCCCCCTCGGCGCAATGAGGCTGGAAACTCGTGTGGAAGATCACAAATCTATCGCCTGCCCCCTCTCGTCCGTTGTCAGTATATACACGGCTCACATTAGGAGGAACGACGTGAAAACACTGCAGTCGACTGGGAGAGCGGATTGCAAGTCAAAAGCTCATATCCCTTGACTACAACGTGTCCCGTGATATCGCTGTCAAAGTTAATTTGATGTGATTGCGCTCCTAACCGCTCTGAGAGGCTTTAGTTCGCGTCTTCCATACCTCTTCCCAGCTAATTGCTTTTCCAACCTGCTGATTGGACGGCTTGACGCTAATTGTCAATCATCTTAAAGAGGCAAAGCAGATCGGTAATATTTCCTCTTCTCTGGCGAATTTGAACCATTTCTACTGCCTTTCTCGATCTCTGGGTCTAGATTTGGGCAAACTTTAATTCTGAGATTGTAAATCTATGCAGAAAATCTCATTTTAAAAGACTTGAACAACTGTGCAAAGGGTCGTTTTCTGACACACAAGTACAAATTGCGCTTTCTGCAGCATGCGACGTGAAACAAATATTTATTGTTTTTCCAAACCTCCACTTAGCTTCAGTTACTAAAGCGCGATACTCTTACCGTGAAAAAATTGCCCAGTTTTCTCCAAAATCCCCTCAACGAAACATTATGGGTCGGTTTCACTTACCACCGTTTACTTGCGGTGTAAACACGGTCGGAAAGTACAAAGACATGGCCAATTAAACAACTGGGGAACACATGTAAACAAGCACGTTAATTGATACGGAAAGGCTTGGGATTCGCTATAAATCCCAGAAATGCGGGAGGAGCCAAGAATGATCTCAAGTCGTCTTTCTGATGATCTCTAGTCGTCTTTCTAATGAGGCAAAATGCTACGTTTCTATCTGACGTTCTGGACGTTCCTATTGTACCCCTCATTATACAGATTCCTTTCTCCTAAATCACATTGTGCCCTTTTTTTTTTTTTTTTTTTTTTTTTTGGGGGGGGGGTATATTTTTCGAGATATAAACTTTTTTAAGCATATGAAACAGAGTACAACAGGGGACTTTTTCCTGTCCGTGGTATCACTGAAAACAATACAGATTTTTTTCTTACCTCTATGTATATTTAGAATTATAATATAATATTATGGCAAAGCGATTTGCTTATTTCTATCAAAATATTCTCATTTGTATTAGAGTCGCTTGGAGACCAATATTGACACATAAATACAGCATCCTATATAGAAATGATAATAAACCTAATTTTCGGCATTTGTGTTTTTATGGCGTTATACATAAAAAGGCAACAAAATCTACTTAATATTAAAATACTCCAGTTTCCATATACTTTGATCACAGTCAAATGTCCTTTGCTTCGTAAAAATCATATGGATTATGGATAAAACCTTAAAAGACTTTTTTCAGGACAACATGTAATGTGATACATGGGTGAATCCAAAGCATTTTATGTACGCCTGGTTAATTTCAAATTGTTCACCATCCTTTCCTCCACAGACAGCAGTATACCGTCTACCACGCAGTCAGAAGACACAGGAAAAGAAGTTTAAATAAAGATCCTCGATTTGAGATAGGTACATAAATGTTTTTGCATCATATGCCCAGGTGATAATAAATTGTATAAACATGATAATAATTTTATAAGCCCATTTTGATTTTTGATATTTCAAATATTGAGAAGATAGACTCAAGAGGGAGTATTTATAAGAATCTATCACAATTTTAATGTGCTTCTGACAATGATATAAGATGTGTAGTTCAGCTAAGTCTACCAGTAATGAGTTAATGATGCTTTTTTATGCCAAATAATTATATTATTAATCTTCGAAATAAAAATGTTTTAATATTTGACCTCGTACAAAAGCACATCGACTGATAAGTGGAAGTTTGATACTCTATTTGAATAACTTCTTTCTTACAAATAGAATCTTGGAATTTTAGTTCTTGTCATATTTTTTACTCAAAACGCTTTAGAAGTTATTCCCTTCTACTCAAACAGAATAAAATGTTCTGAGCCTGGCAAAGCATTCTCTTATATAACCTGAAAGTTTACAGGCTGATGAAATCGTTTTGAAATGTAGAGAAAATTATCTTTATAAATTTTTGATGATTTGTAATCACACTGATGCGAGGGGTATAATAATACCCAGGACTTTTTATCATTTGTAATGGCAATTATCCTGAGACCGTTATTAAAAATTAACCAAAGATTCTGTATTCTTGATATGTTTACAATCAATAAACGCACAAAAAAAAATCCGTAATACTGTTTTCCGAAAAGAAATCTGTATGCTTGCCTTCTCATGAAAAGCTACTTCTGTTAAATAAATGCAAATAAATACCCGTTTTAAGGAGTACTTCATTTTCCTTAAATTTTCATACATATATTTTAGTTGTCAAATTTTAAAACTTGACAGATGTTGACAGTAAAAATTTATTGAAAAACATATTTTCAAACTGAAAAATAACACTACTCAACTTGTGCAGTTTTCTAAACTTGCGACAAAAAATTTTAAAGGCGCGTTTAGATGTACAGCAAAGGCGAATTTAATGAAAAACCAATATTGTCACAATCAAGTTGACAATACATTGCATTTTATTAACAAGTAATTAATATGGATTGTACACCTATACCAGCATTTCATATATAGTATAATATACAATGCCCTTGCCATGCATCAATTTCAGAAGGCCAATATACTGCTGAAGACCGTACATGTACGTTAAATGCTGAGTTTGACTACACAAGCTCGGCTTCACAGCATGCTCGGTAAACGGGAGTTAAAACAGTTTATTTCAGGCGCGCTGGAACACCGCCGTTGCCCTTATGTAATGACACGTAGTAGAGAGAGCGACAAGGTTTGTTCATCTTTCCTTCATGGTAGAGTTTAATGCCAACTGAAAAAGTATCAAGTGACAAGAAATTGTTTTGAATACAAATTTCATATGCTCGGTCTTGGAGAAGAAAATGTAGGGTAAACATGAAATACATGGTACGGACGGATATTTAAGTTACTTTTTGAATTTTAATTTTGACAGTAGTTTATAAAAGGGTTAGCACCTAAAGATCGAGTTAGCTAAACTTACAAAAAAAAAAAAAAAAAAGCTGTAAAACACTCCAGTAAATTCTAAGATCACCTATAAGCGCGACAACAGTGTCACTATAAAAGACGCGTCCTTTTCCTATCAACCTTACATATCTGACAGCGTTTAAAAAAACATTTTAAAACATCCAATAAAATCACCTTATAAACCGATGTATGGAGTCCCTATCGTTTTTTTTTTAATCTGAGCTCATAAATTAGCTTCAGGTAAACGTTATTACAAACTAATAAATTGAATAATGAGTTCAAACACGAACACTAGCAAATAACAACGTCCCCATAGTTATACTGAATAACTACAGCAATCCGAATTCAGGGGCGGATTTAGGCCGTCTTCTGGGTCTTCCGGAAGACGGTCAGAATTTCAAGTCTTTTCAAGATTTTATATAGACGGGTATCTAACTTTTTCTGTCGGAAGACGGTCAATAATGAGGATGGATCAACAAAGATAATTTGGAAGACTGTCAGAAAATATCTCTGGATCCGCCCCTGGAATTAATCCAGATCATCATTCCTCCTCTCCTCCTACCCTCCCACGTCTACAGGGGATCCGTACGCATGGATAGAGAGTGAGAATATAGATTTATTAAGACCGTAATCACCTTTACTATATATCAACGCAGCCAAACCCCGATGCTGCAAATTGAAACTACAAATAAATTGATAGCGCAGACTGCAAAATTTATCGTAAATCTTACTTGAGGTAAGTATCTCTTGCTTTACGGTCGTTGGCATCGTGATGCTGCCACAGGTGACAAAATTCCGATTATTTTCCGCCATCTTGTCACGGTCAAGGAGAGTGGTTAGAAGTGTGTCCTATCGTAGAGCTGGTACACTAATGATCTGAGACCGTGTTGAAGACCCGGGACTGCAGCCCTCCTATAACAGCGTCAGCCGGCATCTACCCTCTTCAGCTTACTAGCGATTCCAGTGTTCAGCTCTACGAAAATGGCACTAACTGGGAGTAAATGAGTTCTTACAGTCGCGTTTATTCATTTATTTACTCAAAGTTAATTATTATTTTGTGTTCGATCGGTCTAAAGCATTTTAGTTGCTAAAATAAACGGTCACGCTGGAAAAATTATTTACAAAAGAACAAAAAAATTAAATAATAAAGGAAAAAGAAGAGAAATTTCACAATTAGCATTTCTGTGGGAAAAACAAAATACAATGAATTCCATGGACACAAACTGAGACAACGAGCATACCAACAGAAAAATATTCACAAAATGCTGTTATACCTGTATTGCTCACACCTCTACCAAAGAAGCTTAGAACAATTGTTTTACTTTAAGAGCTATGTAACAGAGGGTAGGAGAGGACAAGATATTCCTCGGGAGAGGTCAGAGGTCAACGTCATCAGGACTGTAGTGAGTGACGCCAGCAGGTGCCCGTTGTCTTATCCCTAATCAAAAACCTAGGGGGGTCAGCTTCCAGGTTGTGCAATGCGTTCACAACGCATTAACACAGAAGAGAGAAAATACAAATTAATATTTTTTCAAGCGAATGTGAAAGACCCTTAAGACAATCAAAAGCAAAGAGGATTTTAAAAGATGAGAATGATATTGCTATTCACAAAAGTTTAATGCAGTTGTCCATGAAAGAAAATTAATTATCCAGTTTAAGAGCCATAAAAAAAGACACATAATTACTGCAGGAAACCTTACTTGTTTCAATTTCTGACAGCAAAGTGATTTTAAATTTCAACACGTTCAATTGTGTTTACAGAATCTTATGGAAAAATTGCTTCATGTTAAAATGTTTTAATTGGTAAAGCGAGCCATCATCCCAGGGATGATGTAAGAATTTTGAATTCACGTTGTGAAATAAAAGCCTAGGGAGTGTTACTTTCAATGTATTTGAAAAGCAAAAAATAAAATGGTCCGCTTAAATGGCCCATCCTAAAATAATAATACTTCAGCGGATTGTTTAAACAGTACTCATTGCATAAACATTTGCTTTATAAATATAACAGTGCATTTATTCACTAATGGTTAATTCGTTTAGTTCCACGTAATTTCACATACAAGTATAACCGACACACCCATCTGATACCACGGAAATATCTGACAGCAAAGTCACCCTGCATTGCGACAGGTGTGACTGATGCGGTTGTTCTCTCACTGTGCTGCGCGTGTCGCATGTTAACATGACTCGGGGTGACTTACACCTCACCATCAATATTACAACTAGAATGCTTAATTCAATAATATCCCATGTGTCAACAAGAATTCATTTATTATTTTACAGTTTATTTTTTTCCATTTTTAATTAAGTAATACACAAGTGACTTGTAAAGTAAGAATTTCTTCACCATTCTCCTATATTGACCTTTTGGTCTCCTTGCACTGAATTATTCACTTACAACAACTTTCTAAAAGGAAACTTTTAAAGGTATTAATGAATCCATCCACTACTCATTTAAATTTTCACAAGTCTCAGTAAGAGAAATGACTAACTATAAAGATCTTCTGGGTATTCTGCCCCAAGGCATTTTATTTCATCTGGACCATCCTTGTAATACTGGCAATAATAGTCTGTCTTTTAACCTTAAGAGCATGCTGCAAACTGCAGTCTTGTTCAATCTTTCTGCAAGTGTTTAAAATCCGCAAGCAACAGGAAAACTGGATCAAATGTTATCAGTTGATAGCATTTTTTTAACCTTGTGCTACCTTTTAGATTTCTTTATGGGTGGTTCTGATTTTATTGTATCAGTGTTTTTCTTATTTTTGCTAGAATTGTCTTCTTCTTCATCTTCCTCCTCATCTTCTTCATCATCATCTGAAAGTGAAAAGAAAATTTAATCAATTCTTTATCTAAATACTATTGTACAGCTACAAAAATGAAGAATAACTCTGCAATTTAAGGGCATTGTGAAAATTGCACTGCACTGTAGTCCTTACAGCATGGATGGGACTCGGCATTTTTGACATGATTTTAATTGTGAGACTTGGTTTAAATAGCTTCTTATTAAGTCAGATTTTTTAAATATGCGCTTATATTGCCCCGTGTTTAATTCTAAACAGAACGAAGTGAATGCCAAATTGGAACCCTGGTTAACTAGGCTAATATAATAGAAATAAAACACCATAAGGAAGACTGTAATTCGGTACCTTGGTCTTGTTTACCATTTCTACTGCAGTTATTTGTAGCCTTTTCTTGGTTTACCAAAACTGTCAGTGCTTCATTTGTATCCTTTTGTAGATTCCTTAAAGACTCTTGTAATATTTTAAGATCTACAGTTTTTTCTAAAGAACCAGCTGGAAAAGAAAACTCTTGTTTTGTACCATTCTTCAATGTCAACACCGCTGTCACGCTTGCTGCCATCTCAGCATATTGAACGATAGAGGGCGCAACAATCCAAGACTATAATTAGATTTATTATTTTCTGTAAAGTTCCTCGTCAGTTTGAGCCAATATAAATATTTTGATAAATATATATCAAAATATATATATCAAAATATTTATATTGGCTCAAACTGACGAGGAACTTTACAGAAAATAATAAATCTAATTATAGTCTTGGATTGTTGCGCCCTCTATCGTTCAATATGCTGAGATGGCAGCAAGCGTGACAGCGGTGTTGACATTGAAGAATGGTATATATATATATATATATATATATTACTGAAATTTAATTTGCGTCATGAAAATCTGCTCTTACAAAATTATTTTTAATGTTTATATTTATATTACAGTTTCTCTTGTCAGTAGCGTTCCTCGTGATAATTTGCTGTACTATCATTAATAATGTTATGAATATTCCCTGCACTGTACTGGAGCAAATTTGGATTAGTTAACCTTACAGAGGAACGGGGACCATGCGTAGCTTTTTATAATCTAAGAATTTGTGACTGGTGTGTTACAACACGAGCCAAAGCTTTTAAGAGTACAGTTTTATATAGATCACTGAGTAAGTGTTGTGTATCGAATGGAATAAACATCTTGGAATAAACATCTTGTAGAAGAACTGAATAACTTGTGAAGTAGAGAAACTTCTATGCTTGTAATGATGATAATACAAAAATAGCTTTATTTAATTCTGCTAGAATTTTCTAAATGATTCGTGTTTTTTTCCAGTACTATAAACCTATATAAGAGAAGAAAATGCCTAGCCACTACATAAGGGTGATATCCAAGATTCGTCAACTTTAAAGCATAAATTATTGAGAAAGGAATAATAAATAGGAAAAAAAAACTTTATAATGTCCCTGACCAGTAAGGAGAAAGAAATCCAGTGTGTTGTGCACTGGTTCCAAGAATGGAGCCCCATGCAGAAAGAAGATTTTTTAAAAGACATCGTGGAGAAAATTGTCCCAAACAAGATGGATACTCTTTTCGATGCTATGGGCTCTCTCAATGTCAAGGACAGACCGCCCAGCATCTACCAGTGCCAGATGAAACTTTTCACTCAGTGGTTTGAATCTTGGACAGACAAAGAAAGAAATGCTTTTATTACTAAACTTGAAGAAGTGGATGCAGGATTTATGAATATTTTACGTGAACAAATAGCTCTGGCAGAGCAGTCAGCATAATATAGCAAGAATGAATTATTACTAAAATCTGGTGCTGTACTTGAAGTAGACCATATAATGCTTGCTATAAGTGATCTGAACATCGTGCTGAAAATATAATGTTGGTAAATTGCTCTGTGCTGTTATATAGATTTTAGACATTGATCCTGATTATTGTTAATACCAAATGATATATATAGTACATTGTTACATCCATAACATGGCAACAATGTTGAATAATAAGAAAAATTTAATGTGATTTGTTTAAATGGTTGTATTGTGAATGCAATAATTGGGAAGAGCCCCCCCCCCCCCCAAGAAAAAAAGGAATAAAGAAAAGAAGGTAAATAAATATATATAATGCATAAATAAAATGAATAGATAAAAATTAAAAATATTTTAAGCAAGGCTTTTTTTCTACTATACTTTTTTTGTTGTCTAGTAAAATCATTTTTGGTTCTGTTTTGTATTTAAGGCAATTTTAAAGGATCCGAGTGACTTAAAATTTCCTCTCATTTCTTTCCCCATTTTTAGTGAAAAAAAAATGAAATGAATCTCAAGTATGCTCCTCCAGTTAAAAACAAAAACAGATTAAAAACATTAAAATTTTAATTGATTAGTGCAGAATATTATTTTAGAAGTGCCAGTTTTACTCCACGAGTCTCTCCACAAACTAACTTTGGTTTGGATCGTCTTGAATGACCTTGACTTGAAGAGCGCATCCTCCATGTTAAATTTAATGGGCTGTTGTAGCCGGGGGATTTTGTGCGTGTTGTAGATTTGCATGTAACTTGAACTCGTAGCAGCAATGGAATTACCGGTTGTTGAAATTGAACTTGACAGAGGGAAGACGGGTTAGTAAATTTTTAATCCTTTCTAAAAACGGTCGCACGCTGTGCACTCTAAATGTTGATTTTAAATTTACAGCTCTGTGTAGAAAGTTGAGGGCATCATTGTGTCATGATCATGTAGTACCCGTTATACGTAGCTCAGATTTCACTGCGTGAAAAGCAAAGCTGATGAAAATTTGTTGCACTTTAAATAAGATGCTGTCAGTTACCTAAAGTGCCACCATTTTGTAACTCGACTCGATTAGTTATTCTCACCGATTCTGAATTAGATGTATTGATTGGAAATTGGAGTCAATCAGTTTAATGGCTAGTATTGGGATCTTAATCGATTTCCTGTAGCATTCAATTCAAAGGTTAATATCTTTGTCTTAGGTCTAGGTTTTAACATCAGAGGAGGCAGCGACATTCCATACATTCAAGGTGATTCTGGGATATTTGTGACTAAAATACGAGATGATGGAGCTGCTGCTGCAGATGGAAGGTTACAAGAAGGAGATAAAATCATTGAAGTATGGTATCAATTTTTATTTACAGAAAATGATAAAGTGCAAGATTTATTACAATTTACATAAGAAATGTGTAAAATTCTTCAAAGTAAATACTCATCCTTTTAGAAATCAGAATGAGTTTAAGTAGATGATTTGTCATTTCAAATAATAAAAATCATTATTATTATTATTATTATAAATAAATAAATAAGGAAGTGAAATAAAAAAGTTTGTATTTGTTTTTTTAACACATACAAGTGAGATTTTGTCATAATTGTACCATAAGGAAGTCAGCATACATTTGCAGTTTATAAAGAAATTACAATTGGTTATTAAATATTCCCTTTGTTTCATCGTCATGATGTTTTTTTTTCTCTTACAGATTAATGGCTCCAATGTTGAATCAGTTACCCATAATGATGCAGTAAATTTGTTTTTAAATGCTGGTGAAACGGTGAAGCTAAAAGTTAAACAAGGAGCTGAGCGCGCCATACTGGTAAGTTTTTGCCCGGATTTAAGAACACCTGAATATAGTGACTGGAAGCTGTAGTTGAGGGAACTGAAATCAAAGATCCACAAGCAATGAAATTTATCTTGATTACTTCTAAGAAAACTGTAACTTACACATAGGAAAGTGAACTAAATGTATTTATTAATGCTTATTTTACTTATGTCACCATTTGACATTTAGTTTGTTTATAAGTCTAAGAAATGAATTAAACATTGTAACAATTTTGTATTTCAACTTCTAAGTGATATTTTTAATATAGCAGAAGGTTTATTGTTGTTAAGCATAGATATGCAATTTCCTGTGGTTAATAATTTCAGGACAGAAAAGCAAGAGCAGCAACGGAAAGAAGAAGAGGTACAACTCCAGAACAAACTAGTATCATNTAATGCATAAATAAAATGAATAGATAAAATTTAAAAATATTTCAAGCAAGGCTGTTTTTCTACCACACTTTTTTGTTGTCTAGTAAAATCATTTTTGGTTCTGTTTTGTATTTAAGGCGATTTTAAAGGATCCGAGTGACTAAAATTTCCTCTCATTTCTTTTTCTTTTCTTTACTTCTTTCCCATTTTTAGTGAAAAAAAAATGAAATGAATCTCAAGTATGCTTCTCCAGTTAAAAACAGATTAAAAACGTTAAAATTTTTAATTGATTAGTGCAGATTATTATTTCAGAAGTGCCAGTTTTACTCCACTAGTCTCTCTACAAAGGAACTTTGGTTTGGATCGTCTTGAATGACCTTGACTTGAAGAGCGCATCCTCCATGTTAAATTTAATGTGCTGTTGTAGCCGGGGGATTTTGTGCGTGTTGTAGATTTGCATGTAACTTGAACTCGTAGCAGCAATGGAATTACCGGTTGTTGAAATTGAACTTGACAGAGGGAAGACGGGTTAGTAAATTTTTAATTCTTTCTAAATACAGCCGTACGCTGTGCACTCTAAATCTTGATTCTAAATTTACAGCTCGGTGTAGAAAGTTGAGGACATCTTTGTGTCATCATCATGTAGTACCCGTGATACGTAGCTCAGATTTCACTGCGTGAAAAGCAAAGCTGATGAAAATTTGTTGCACTTAAATAAGATGCTGTCACTCACATGAAGTGCCACCATTTTGTAACTCGACTCGATTAGTTATTCTCACCGATTCTGAATTAGATGTATTGATTGGAAATTGTAGTCAATCAGTTTAATGGCTAGTATTGGGATCTTAATCGATTTCCTGCAGCATTCTATTCAAAGGTTAATATCTTTGTCTTAGGTCTAGGTTTTAACATCAGAGGAGGCAGCGACATTCCATACATTCAAGGTGATTCTGGGATATTTGTGACTAAAATACGAGATGATGGAGCTGCTGCTGCAGATGGAAGGTTACAAGAAGGAGATAAAATCATTGAAGTATGGTATCAATTTTTATTTACAGAAAATGATAAAGTGCAAGATTTATTACAATTTACATAAGAAATGTGTAAAATTCTTCAAAGTAAATACTCATCCTTTTAGAAATCAGAAGAGTTTAAGTAGATGATTTGTCATTTCAAATAATAAAAATCATTATTATTATTATTATTATTATTATTATTATTATAAATAAATAAATAAGGAAGTGAAATAAAAAAGTTTGTATTTGTTTTTTAACACATACAAGTGAGATTTTGTCATAATTGTACCATAAGGAAGTCAGCATACATTTGCAGTTTATAAAGAAATTACAATTGGTTATTAAATATTCCCTTTGTTTCATCGTCATGATGTTTTTTTTTCTCTTACAGATTAATGGCTCCAATGTTGAATCAGTTACCCATAATGATGCAGTAAATTTGTTTTTAAATGCTGGTGAAACGGTGAAGCTAAAAGTTAAACAAGGAGCTGAGCGCGCCATACTGGTAAGTTTTTGCCCGGATTTAAGAAACACCTGAATATAGTGACTGGAAGCTGTAGTTGAGGGAACTGAAATCAAAGATCCACAAGCAATGAAATTTATCTTGATTACTTCTAAGAAAACTGTAACTTACACATAGGAAAGTGAACTAAATGTATTTATTAATGCTTATTTTACTTATGTCACCATTTGACATTTAGTTTGTTTATAAGTCTAAGAAATGAATTAAACATTGTAACAATTTTGTATTTCAACTTCTAAGTGATATTTTTAATATAGCAGAAGGTTTATTGTTGTTAAGCATAGATATGCAATTTCCTGTGGTTAATAATTTCAGGACAGAAAAGCAAGAGCAGCAACGGAAAGAAGAAGAGGTACAACTCCAGAACAAACTAGTATCATTACTGTAAGCAGCGTACTCGTGATTGCAGGGATAGCTGTGGCAGGGTACTTCGCATACAAAAAGTATTTCAGGAGATAACATGAGCTAAAACTTAGATGCCATTATAAGATTATGTTGTCCGTCATCATCTATCATAGAAAGCGTATGGCTATAGGTTAATAAGAGAAGATTCTAGTTATCCCCATAAAAAAGATATAGATTGAATTGCACTGTTTTGACATCTGGGTTGTTTATGCAAAGGAGGGTGACACTGGATTGTGAGATATTAAATTTTGTTCCAGGTTTTAGATGAATGTTGAAAAGAAAATAAGGAAATTGTTCGAGGTTGTCAAAATAACTTTCACAGGTTCATGGTAATGTTGTTTAGATGATGAACGGTCCAGGTATGTGATCATGTAGAGGAACTCATTTATTTAGCATCCAGGTTCGACATATCACTGTTGAAATGAAGTATTGCATTTTTAGAAATTAGTTTAAAGATGGCGGGCAACAAGCTGATTATAACAAAGCAATTGAAATATTACATTTTTGTGCAACAAAAATTACTATGCTGCCTTTTTAAAGATTGTGCAAAGAAATATTAGTATAAAGTTTTTAGGCATTTGTGGATAAAATCCGATAATCCTTTAATCTCAGCACCACTAAAAAACAATTTAAATAACAGTGATTTGGATGTTTTCGCTCAGCACATTCCTAATGTATTCACAAGAGAGCTTTGGCGTCTTTATTTCACAATACATCACAAAAAAATGACAGCTTATTTTAATAGCTATTAAAATAGCAGTTTTGTTCAGCAGTTGTATTATTAGTAGAAAAACATTAAATGACATGGAAGGATGACATTATTTGAATAAAATATTTGAGAACTTTAATTTTGCCTAGAATGCATTTAGTCACCCTTCTTCTTATATTTTATTAATATTATAAATGTTTGAAATGAAAGTGTAAGTTATGTCAGTGCCACTTGAAATATGATGAATTGTATACAAGGGGAATGAAAGAGTTATGTTATGAAATAATGATAAAATAAAATTTTTTACTAAAAAAAGTTTGGAGTTTCAATAATATTATTAAACTTTTTCAAATGTATGTGGAATTTCAATAATATTATTAAACCTTTTCAAATGCATGTATGTTTTTTTCAGATATCACAACTACACAAAAATAATAAAAAAACTTCTGCAATTGATACATACTTAGTGTCACATTTATTACTAGTCCATGTACAAATTTGTGACAATACTACTTAACAACTGGCCTTGTGACTTGCACCTTTACAAGCAGAAATACTTGTATGAACACTTATGCCCCCTTTACACTGGACAGCATCCTTTCTGCGTCCCGTAGTTAGGAATGAGAGTGGAAAAAAATTATGTGCTGACAACTGGCTGATCATTGAGCATTTTGTCTGCAACCAAAGCGATGCTTGTGACTCCTTTCTACGACCACAGCGATGCCAGTTTCATGGTCACAAAGATGCAGAAAGGATACCGTCCAATGTAAAGGGTTTTACAGGATATATTTAACCGCCATCACTCTCACCTGAAGTTCACTGAATTGCAGTCAAATAACATTAAAAATGTTCCCATCTTTGACATAACCAAACAACTGATTAGAAGTAATCATAGATGATTAAAGACAGATAAGAATCTGAGCAGACAGGTAAATTTGCCCAGATAAATCACAAACCTGCATTTTACATCTCAAAAGGACTTAAAATGCTGGCACTGCAACATAAATTAAATGAAACCTGGAGAAATGTACATCTTTAAAAATTATTCCATTCATTTTGAAAAAATATGTATAATTCCATCTCTACACCTAAGAAAGGAGATTCCTAGCTCTCAATAAAACGACAAATAAGAAATTCAAAGAAATGACTGACAGAATACTTATTTAAATCTGCATTTCCTGACCAGACGGATGACAGAAGTTGAATAACTGTTCTCATATCGTTTCTTGATTTCCACATAACGAGAAAATATCTCTTCACTTGGAATCCAATGAAGTGGAGGTGACAAACAGTATTCCAGATGTAAACCGAGCAAAACAAAACCACAAAAAGTTAATGGAGTTGGATTTTTAAGGACTTTGTAGAGAGAAAATGTTCCCAATTACATCTGCAGACAAGTCTTCTGCATGAAGCCCATCTTCAACTGAAAGAATGTACTAGATTAAGCACTCTTTTGATACACTGTCTGCTTTCGACCTATACACCTACAATCCAATATTAGTCTCACTCTAGGAGCCCCATAAGATACATCCATGTCTCATCTTTATTTGTCTTGCTCATTTCTCAAGTTTTCACACCTCAAAGTTGTGACAGTCAGACAGATGAGACATACTAAATTGACTGGGGTGGCTCTAGTGCTAAGGAGGGGGAGGGGGGGGGGTAAGGGGGTCTTTTAAAAGAGGGATACCTCAATGAAGTAACTTCTCAATAATTTACTTAATTTTTCACCGTAAAGAAAACCATTAATTTCAAACTTTCTTCCCAAGTCTACTAAACACTCCGGTTTCTTTGGTACCACTGTTGGGGTTGCTTTCTCTTTTGAACTGGTTCAGAGTTTTTGAGATTGTCTCAGCTTTCTTCTTAGGAATTTTTTCTGCAGTTGATGAAGATACCTCTGGCTTTTGAGGACCAAGTCTGGCTTGTACTCCTGTAGAAGAAATATGCTTTTAAGACATATTGAAATTAAGTTTGTGTCTCAATATATAAACAAATGCATTAAAATACAAATCACACACAATTGCAACTATTAATTAATGAGTTTCATGAATATGTCTTCTTTTCTGGAAATCTTAACCATCCAATTACACTTCTTTTATCCTACATTTTTTATACGTGGCTATATATCAAGATCAAAATGAAAACATTTATGTCTACCAAAATCCACCATTTCACCCAAAACAAAAAGAAGATTTACCTTTTTTGCCAGCAGCAGCTGCTGGTTTTGTGGAGACTGTCACCTTTGGTGCAGCAACTGGCTTGGTCTGTTTTAGTCCCAGGCGTTTTTTGGCACTTTGTTGTTCTGCAGTCAACTTGTCGGAGTGAAGGGTGCCTGAGTCAGAGGTAGTGGACACCTCAGCTTTCTCGGGTCCTGAAAATGTATGGAACAGTTATTGTCAACATGAGAATAACAAATGTGACAGCACTTTAAAATGTATAGCAAAAGAAGAACAAAAACAAAAATGGTTTTTCTGCAGGGTTGTATAAAACGACTATATACTAATGCACATAAAAAATGAATGTTTTATTTAGAATTTTGAGAAAATTAATAACTCATGAAAACTTTTTTCACAAACAATATCTTAAATATTATACCTAGCCTTTGCAAAGCTGTCTTCTTTTTTGGTACACTTTTCTTTGCTGTCTTTGTTGCTCCTGGATACTTAAACAAACCAGCATATGCTAAAGGTGATTCTGGTTCATCTTCTTCTCCATCGTCTTCCACTGTGGACGTAGCTGGTCTCTTCACTGCCTTCTTACCTCCAAGACGGTTGAAAACAGATGAACCCTGAAACAGTATATATTCAAATATGAATGTGTGAATCAGACAAATTAATTAATTTTTAAGTGACAAAATTTTCAAGTTTTTGCATGCTGATCAGAAGATGTTAATTTTATGCATTGAAAAACATGAAAAGAAACTCCAAGAGAAAAGCCATCAGACATCTGAATGTATGAGTTCACAATATAATTGTCCAACCAGTTACCAGTAGTTTCACAGCGTTTCTTTTCCTGATATCATTTCTTTGTATGTTACTTTGAAGTAATCTGATCATTTGGACACTTACCTGTTGTGAAGATGTAGTGGTCTTATTGATGATGACCTTGGACAGCCCAGTCACTGTCACTTTGGGAGACTCTGATGTTGAGGTTGATATTGAGGTGTCCTGACCCAGGCGTTCAAACACTGAAGATTTTGAAGTTTTCTTCTCTGAAATTTGAATAAATCTGTCATAATACATCATTTATATTGCCAAGCAGTGGATATGGTTAAGATGGCAAATGGGTATGATAAAAATACATCTTTTTAAAGAGCCTAACAGGTTTTGCTACCATATAGGCATGACACTTAAATCCCTCTCAAAGGTAGAAAAACATGTTAAGTCCCTTTAGATATAATTTACTTTTTTACCATCATAACCCAGTATATGATGAAGAGCCTATAGAATCAGTCGGCAGTTAGTATATCAAGATATACATAATCCAAAGTGTAGAGGAAAATATGTCTTACAGCCAATTATAAACTTTTAGTATAACTAAGATGTTCCAACTTTCCATAAATTCTAAACTTTACTTTTCTTAACCTCAAGTTTTATGGCAATGGTGACAGCCAGTACCTGCAGCAGGTGATGGTCCCAAACGTGACGCCAGGTCTTGTGATACTTTGGGCAGTGGGGTGGAGCTATTCATGGGGGCCGCACACGGGTCACTGTTTGTCTTCAAGTAGTGGTCAACTATACGACTGGCAGCTGAATAATAATAATAACAACATCCAATACATGGCAAGCATGATTTATAACCTAGTAAAGTACCTTTGATTTAAAATAATTCATGTCAGAAATAATTCATAAGTATGACCTTTAATAACTATACCTTTTGTTATAAATGCAAATAATAATGTTTTGTGAAAATTCTATTATAATATACTTACTTACTACAGATATACTGTAATGTTAATCTTAAAAACAGATTCATGATTCTCAGCAAAACTGGCCACTGCAATATGATGAAGAATAAAGTATACATGAAAATTCTCAAACACAAGCCTAAAAAATTGATTGTACGGAAATTTTTAGGCTTGTGTTTGAGAATTTTCATGTATATCCAACAACCAAGCTAATGAACATTTTTGCTCAAGAATAAAGGAGTTGTCTTACGTGTGGACCTCCTTGCTGCTGCTGCTGGAGACTGGGACTGTGACACTGGCGTGTTTGTTCCCTTGAGTGCTTTCTCACGCACAGTCTATAAAGACATGAAATGATCAATTTTACCCATACGAACACATTTAAAAAATTCATATTTTAAACAAAGACACCTTGAGAATTATAATGACTAAGTAACCTATGTTGAAAAATCAAGCTATATGCTAATATCAATTTTTGTTTTATAAACCACTCTAGACTTCTAGTGAGTGATGAAGTTAGTGTGACATTTTAAATTTCCACATTATTTGTTTTCATCATTTTTTTTTGTTTTAACCAATTTTCTCTTTTCTTTTACTAGTCTTTTTTATAATCTCTTCATGTGACATAGTAAAGTCTACTGAACAAATTTGGATTTTAGACTCAAAATAAATACTATATATAATTATTATTATTAAGCTTCGTCCCATTTCTAATTTAACTTCCCACCATATCCTACTGGGCTAACCTGTGTGTGGACAGCTTTAGCATGCTTGAGTATAGCAATCACATCCCCCATCATAGTGATCCCCATGTCATTGAGGTATTCCTTGTTGAGATCTAACAGCATGTCACTCTTCATTCTGTTGTCAGTGAATGTGACGGCATAGTTGGTGGACTCTCCGGCAGGAATGCCAGCGTCTGTGAAGAACTTGATCCAAAACGGCATGGAACTGGTGTCTGTAAAAACATTAATTATTGGTCATTGTTCATACGTACTTTCTGCTGTTTAGTTTTACTTTCTCTCCTTTATTGTTTTTTTTTTACCAGTCATCAACGTCATCCTCAAAATAAATATGAATTTTTTAAAAAAGAGATGGATACTTTGCAAAAAATGCAGCTATTCAAAGCCACATATAATATTGTAGATATCATGCTTTGAAACAAACTTCTTTAAATAAAATATCACTGGTTAAAACTTATATTTATTTTATTAAGCAACAGCATTATAAAATTACTAAACCGCACTATTTCAAGTCAAATCATGTAAGCCCAAGCTCATGATTCAGTTATTCTTTAAAACAATTTTAATGTGTTGGAAAATTAGCGTCCCAATTCAAAGCTTTCTCAACCTTTACACATTTCCAGAGAACATAGGTAAAGTAAAGAGGAGTACAGGCGGCTAAGCTCTCGGCCTTAGCAGGGATATTGCTTTTAAACGTGGAGACTGAAGAGGTGGGTTTACAAATATTAGTTACTCCTGAAACCATCGTTTTCAACGAGGATCAAACCATACCCAAATCTTATTGCATAAGATCTATAACTTTCCCACAAACCTTTCACATAATCTTTGACAATATCACTTAAGCAAGATTGTGGATCTAAAATATATAACAAACAGATTTATCTCACCTGCAGTCGCCATGATGCTTGTTATTCTCGCAGTATCTCGGAAAACGAGAAGTTGAAAATTTAGTTTTCAAATCTCCAACTACATATGAGCTACCATGTGGAAAACGAGAAGCAAAAGTTAAAAGTGAGAGGTACATTTACATGCAAACTTGTTTCATAAAGAATATCATATCCATTGCTTTTGATGCTTGCAGCTTCAGGTTTCCCAGAAATCCAATGGAGTGTATTACAGTGCATAAAAGCGGCCAAATGGGTCTGTTATGATCGTGCCGGAAGCACTCCCGAACTACGGAGACGAGCCTACACCACCTGGCGGGAGTGCAGTAAATGATTAGACTAAGTGCAGTTCGAGCCACGACGCGAGAGGGTGCGGACTCACTTACACACCTTTCTACGACTACTGTATATACCCACACAGTTACACAAGGAGCTTCGACCTGTGAATACGGAGAGCGGATCTGGCAGATAGCTGACAGATAGCTCGCATAAAAACTTTAGGTCTCTTTCTAGTGCCATTTTTTCGGTCTAGCGTGAATTTTAGAATTATTGGTGCCAACAACCGCCCAAAGAATATCCAAGAAATTCTACAGTGTACACGAAAGGATACAGTGCATGAATGTTGAATTACACCGCGCGTGAAAGCTGCTCTAAAAATTATGAGGTCAGAAAGTGGGAAGCCTAACTACATTTTGTAATTTTACTGTATAAATGATTTTTTGCTTTGAAAAAAAACATGACCTGCCTGCTAATGGTTGTTATGGCTTTCATTTTCAGACATGCATGAATAAAATGAGTGCCCTTCCATGGGAGACCTTTATTCAAGGTTAGTGTGCTATTATAATACGGGTGGTAAGTAACTTGGCATGTGAATCATGGTCACTTAGTGGAACCTCTGGTGCTTCTTATAAAAATGTGATGGAAGTTTACTGAGATGGAAATTGTCTAAAGTCACTTGAAAATGACTTTGCCATATAATTGAAGAAATAAGGTTTACAGGTGATTTGTCCCAAACATCTAAAGATAAAATAGAGTACTTCAAAATAAAATGTTCTGTTTTATTTATTATTATTATTTATAAGTCGTAATATTTTGCAGCAAACCTCTTGGCTACAGGTGTTGTCAATGGAGTGGCTGTTTTAACCAAGAGTGGGCAATGTGCTTTTCTTCATGGACGTTTATACAATCTAGAGAAGGTAAATTAAATTATATAGCAATGATCACAAAAGCTGTCATGTATAACAGTGCTCATGGAAATATGTCATGGATGACCATTCTATGTTACATTTCCATGGTAACAGTAACTACACATGGTTACAATGTTCTTATCCAGCAGTTCTCATTTACAAGGGATCCTGAAGCTTGATGCTATACATTTGCATGGAATCTTTAGGCAGAAGTATTGAATGATATCTTCAATGGCACTTGTAATAAATTTTTGTTATTGGTTTATTTCTTTTTACATTTTAGGTGAATTGGAAGCAGTTCTTGGAAATATTTCAGTATTCATCAGAAAAACACAATGATCAAATATTTGAAAATGGGTTCCGTCTTCAGTTCCCTGGACAAAGAGAAATTCAGTACAAAGTTTACCAAAAAACTTACTGTAGGTAAATAGTAAACCTTCTGACGTGCAGAATCGCATTTCTCTCAGTTTTGAAGTCTTTTTTGTCCAATTTAGTTACCAAACTATTTATAGAAATTAAAGGCAAAGTTTTAAATCTGAAAATCACTCTGTTGGCCGGGACATCAGATGGGCAGGATTGCCTACCTGTGGTTAGAAATTGTGATCACAAAGTCTACCAAGGTAGTAGGTAGTACAAGTTAAATTATACCTTAAGATAAAAAATAGGATAGACATAACTTTTTCAACACTTTTTCAACTGTTATACTGTATTCAATCTATCTCCCCTGCTGTGTGTGATTTCAGTGCCTATGCCACCTCTCAGGGGAACCAGGAAGGGCTGATAGTGTGTAACCTGCCATATGGGATCCTCATTAGTACCTTCAGTTACCCCCAGGTGGCAGCAGTGGCGGTGAAGGTGGTGGAGAATTTCTGTGACAAGTTGAGAGCGTGAAATGGTGAGAACAACCATCTTTTTGAGTTTGGAACGTTATTAGTACAGGAATGAGTGTTTTACTTATTTGGAAAAAGTGCAGCGGCATTCCTAGTGACTGTTTTTTTAAGCAGTTTTCTTCTTTCTGACTGGAATCTTCCTGCCTTCAAAACCGAGGTACTTTATACAAAATGTTATTTTTATTTTACATTTGATAATTGGATTCTTTCCTTGCAGAGACCAAGAGAAAGATTTAGCAATTATATACTGCTGAAAATTGGAAGTGGTGTACACTAGGTGCTATACAGAATGGCTGGCATCATTTTTTGAAGACATGTTACAGATATCCACAGCAGACTTGGACTTTGCAAAGGGTACTGTGGTAGAATATAAACACATATTATTACCTCCCAAAACCAGGTCAAGAATGAAAGACATGACAAATTCTGCCCCAAAGTGAGGAATGCAGACATCAGAGAAGAGTTGATCATGGTAACTGGGTTGACAAGACCAGTATGATAAAAGGGGTTCCTCCTAAGTATATGTGTATGTGTTGCCATGGTAAAATAGAAACATGATTGTTTTTCCTTACTTAATGAATCTCAACTCATAGAACACGCAACCATATTTATGGATTTACTATGTATCAGAGGCAAAATGAGGGATGGCTTAAATGCCACCCTCCCCACTCAGCTTACACGGAAATATATATTCCGTTGTGATTGGCTCACTCACACAGATTAAAAAAAATGGTATGTACTTTTAAATAAAAAGCATGTGCAAGCATATTTCATTTAAGCCCTCCCTCATTTTTACACTCACAGAAATACAATCAAACATCAGCTTAACAAGGTAGTCTTTAATTTCGAATTCTATTTCATATTAAAATATAGGTCAGTCTTAAATGGGACTTTGAAGTAAAACGTGACAAACATCTACAATCTGCTAATCTCCAATTTGAATAATAACAGATAAAATGGCACCTCTTGCTGTATTCAAACTGTACCATGCCAAACCGTCTGAACTGTCTTGTCAGAAATTCAATCACTTCTTCCATGTGGTGAATATAAATCAGTTTCCCTCTTATTATTTTTACTGCTCTATTTAATCCAGTGTTTAATGAATACATTATACTGTTTCCTTGCCTCTCTTCTCCAATTCTCCAAGAAGGCATGAGTATGTTGGTTAATCAGAGGCCAAGTCTAGTCTAAATTTCTGGGTAAATGCGAGGGGCGGTCATGTTTGTGCCGTAATGCTGTGTGCTTATCCTTAGGCATTTGTTCTTGACAGATGTCGGTAATTAACTGCATGAAAGGCTCCAATACAACTGGCCCTGCTCGGTCGACTCCAGTCAGCTCAGCACTAATGATGTCATAGAATTGATTGTTGGCTTTGTTTTGCCCTGTGGGCTCAGTTTCCCCCCATGGAAATTAACATTTGACAAATACCTTGTGCAGTTTAATTCTAACCAGTTTGTAGACAGTTTGAAAGCACAGTCACCGTTTTCAGAGTCCCAAACTGCTGAACAATCCCCCCGATAGTGTGCCTCTGTCACTAAATTCTGCTCTGCTCCTACGTCTAGGTTCAGACGTAGGTACCTTGTACTTAGTGTGAGAAGGCAACTCCTTTGAGTGCCCAGCCTCCACCTCCATTCTGACATCTGACCCTTGAGATTCTTAATTCTCAGTAGTCATGTCAGATGTACCAGCTGACTCATCAGTTTTTGTAATTCTTTGAGGCGTCACTCCTGACAACAATGCCTCCTCCTCATCAGAATCAATCTCCATTTCCTCGCCCATAATCACCCTTTGGTGAGTTATGGTAGGATCCTCTTTGAGCCTAATGTCCTTTGACATTTCCAGGCCTGCTGATGCAGTACTAGGCCCTTGTTTAGCAGGTAATGGAATGTGAATAACATTTTCACATATCCACTTATGCCGCTCAAAACCAAATTCTCTCAGGTCTCGAGCCACCTGCCTTTTCCAGTTGTTATTTTTCTTGCCTTTAGCTAATTCCAACTGACCCTTGAGGATAGCCTTTGCTTCCTCAAAGCATGTCACGGGGGCACATGGCTAATCTTTCTGCTAACTTTTTAGCAGAGGCAAGTCGTCCCTGGCGGTTGTCCTCTTTAAAACATTCCACCAGTCTTCTCCAATCTTCTGTTCTCGGCATCTGTACAAAAACATAAGAGATTAAGAAAATAATTCACTTAAGTTAATTTAACTGTAAGCAAATCAATTCCTCTAAATCAGTACTTTTACTATAATGCACATGATGGTAAAATTACCTGCTTTTCTTCTTCTTTCCCAGGCGTCATTATTTTATCATAAACAAAAGCCCTTCCTAATTCATAGTACTGGCAAGTGAGGACTGTGAAGTGCTGGCTAGTGGTTCTTCTAAACAGGACATGTCATTTTGAGAGGCTTCTCCTGTCTCCAATCCATCTAGTAACTAAATAAGAAATATATCTGATATGAGTTTTCGAAAGCTACAATGACAACTATATCAAAATAAACAACTCCCCTTTTGCTGTTGTGAATTAAAATTGATGAGCGGTCAGAAATTGCACGGTTTTCATTTTTCGTTACTCTTATCTACGTAACTGAAATAAAATATCATGAGTTAATACGGTGTTGGGAGGCAAAATATAATGTATAGCACCGGGGCTATGTATAAGCGGGTCTAAATAAAGGAAAAGGGCTTACCTTAACTTGATGGCTTGCTGATTCCGTGATTTCTTGATTTTACTACTTCTCTCTCAATTGGCACTGCAGAGCGCCTTAGGCGCCATGCTCTAACTTGTCACACTCTATAACACTGCGCATGCGCCGTGACACGCTTCCGGGTCATATAATGACCCCTCGGCACTACACTCTCCCCCGTTTTACCTTGAAGGACCGTGCCTTCTCGGCCGTATCAGTGCCGAATCACAAAAAAGCCCCACTTTCCACCGTGGGAAAGGGGATTACCCTCCGGTCCCCGTGGGACTCGGGGGGGGGGGGGATGGGTGCTTGCAGCAGTGATGGGCGTCCCATCAAAGCTACTCGTCCTGGTCAAGTCGCACCCGGCCTGACCACACCCTTGCCCTTCTAACCATCTGGGCCCCTTTTCTCCAGGTATAAACGCCGTGCGTTATCCCTGGTCTGGCGCAACACTTCTCGCCATCGCTCTCCCCGGATCTCCGCCACTAACTTGGCCACGTGACCAAGCAGAGCTGGAGTAGAACACTTGTTCCGTTGAATGTTGAAATACGGAGCATCCGTCTCCAAGAGTAGTCTTCCCAGGGGCAAGGTTCGTAACATGTCATGCGCCTTGGCATTGACAGGCCCCTCGTGTTCTGCGAAGCGTCCCGTGACGCCGAAGTAGGTGTTCGGATAATAGCGAACAAAAGCCCGCACCATATCCGGGGAACCTAAAAAGCAATGACAATGGATTAGCTGTCGAGTCCCCACGCCCACAGCTCTCAGTTTGTCCAGTATGATATGCCAGACCGCGTCGTCGGCATCTGTGCTGGTGCTTAAGCCTCTCCCGTGGAGGACTAGCACATGGGTTGGCTCCAGGAAATGAAGAGCAGCCTCCAGGTTGGTCAGTTGATCCTCCCACCTGGACGGCATCACTGACATGTCCAGCCCGACCTCCCCCAGTGCCGTGACTGAGGGGTGGTTGATTATGGACTGGAACTTAGCCCACTCCGTTGATGTGCAATAATGCCTAGGGTGCATTCCCACAGAAATGACCCCGCCTTCGTTTTTAATGGCCTCCATCTCACCCTCCGTGGGGTAAGTATTCGGATCACAATAGATCGCCGTGAATCCATCGATCACCACAGGTTCCACCGTGGGAACGGCTGCTTGGATCTCTCTCAAACCAGCTCTGGCGTCCAGGGATAGTTTGGTCCGAGTCCGGTCAATATGGCAGTGGGAATCGTACCCCACTGGCGACTGAGGCAGCATCTGCAACTCCTCAGGCGATGGGCTAAACAACGAGCGGAATTCCTCCTGCCCCTGGATCAAGGTCATCAGATCCAGCAACACCTCCCATCTCAACAACTGGGGTATACGGCTGGACGTTCCAAGCCGCATATGCGCTCTAAGGGCATCTATGCCCACTTGATCAACAGGGCCACCCCTGTCCTCTACACTGGCAGCATCCAGTAAAATCTCTAGGGTCAGGTGAGACCCCACAATTCTCTTCTTTAGGTAATGAAGAGCTGCCACTCTCCGCTCCGTGATCCCTGGTGCGGAGCTCAATTCCGGATGAAAGATAAGAGGCAGATGCTCCTTGAAAGCATGCTCCTCCGACATTGGCTGGCCGCAGCCTGCCAAACAATACTTAGGCCGTGCCTCACAAGGGTGTTCTACTCTTTTCCACGAGGACTGCCCCTGATGTGTACTCCCTTGTCTCCTATGAGGAGAACAAGAACTGTCACTTCCATATCGGCGCCGTGGCCTTTTGGCAGGAGGGTGAGTGGGCCTACCCCCTCTCTTGGAATATCCTCTTGCTGCGGGAGGAGCCATCAGTGCAGCTCGATAACTCCCCGGAGCCTCACTAGGGTACCGTGACCCTCCTGCTCGCTCCTGTGATCTCGGGTTCCGTGAACCCGTTAGTGGGTGTGGCGGGGGCCTCTTTGGTCTAGCACCCCTTTGTGCACCCCCTCCTCTAACAGGACTACGCCCACGAGATTCCTTCCGCCTTGACTCCTTGACTTGCCACTGGAATTCTGGGCCCTCTGATCCTGACCCGTGGTCAGTGGACTCAGAGACCCGTGCCCCTGATCCTTCCGTCACTGCCACAGAGTCTCCTGACTCTGACTCCATACGCTCCGGAGGCCGTGCTCTGGATTCAAGGCTTTCCAAGCCTGCCTCAACACACATAGGCTCCGTGGCCCTTGACTCTGACTCACCACCGGTTCCCAATTCTCCTGGATCGGTCACCGGCGGCACTTCTTGGGGAACCCGTGATTCCCCCGGTTGCTCCAACTGCGCTTCAGAGCTCCGTGGCTCTGTCTGCTCACTCCACAGCCCAGAGTCCTTAAACTCTGCCTGTGTCTCTAAGGGCGGAGTATCCAACACCCGCTCGTCAGCCGGGCTGTCACCCCCTGCCTGCCCCTCCAAGACGGCCTCGTCAACTTCCATCGATTGACCCACATACGACGTATGCTGCACAATAGTTGGGTCCGTGCCCAATCTTATATCACGAGCGGGCCCCGTGGGCTCAGCTCGCACAGCCTGCCTGCCAGATGGAACCTGTGCCACGTTGTCACAGATCCATGCGTGGGGGCGGAATTGCACCGCTAGCAGCCCTTGTGCTAGCTTTTTCCTCCACTTCTCCATAGCTTTGTGCCGTGCCAAAGCTACTTGGCGCAATACTAAGCTGCTGGCTTGCCCCAGGCAGTCCTTAGGCGCCATCGCCACTCGATCTACCAACTCATCCATCTTCTGAATTGGCCATATCCGTCCCTCTGCCGTGCAGATTTCTATGTCCACCACCAAGTCCTTCCACTTTCTGCTGTCCATCTAGAAATAGAATGAAACAATTAAGTGCACATTCCATCTCATAGCTCTTAAGCTCTGCGTATACAGTCTTGACATTTATATTTATTAATGCTTAAGGCATCCGTGGCCGTCACATTAACACATGACCCGTGATACCACTCCCCGCAGTAATCACATTGCAGCATAAATCTACCCTGCCAGGGTTGACGGCAACTGCAATATACTCTGTCATCGCCCCTCGCCGTGGAGTCGGGCACTGGATTCTTCCTCCAATGTTGTATCCACTGGGGCACCTCCTTGTCTCGACAAGGCTTCAACCTGTCGTGGTTGGTCACAAAGACTGCATTCCGCACCTTAACGCGGAACAGGTTTGAACTGAGCCGTGCTACAATTAAACCTGGCCCCCTCCATGGTGGGCACAATTTCTTACACTTCCCCTTTGCTGCCGCAGTATCCAGCACATACACTGTATCTCCCACAGCATACGGTCGTTCAAGTATCCTTAAGTCATAGTCCCTCTTCATTCTTTTAGAGGCTACTCGCAGTTTACCCCGAGCCGTCTCGTGGGCTTCCATCAGATCAGCTGCCAACCGTGCGGCATAGCTATCTGAATCTTCAAAATTGATGCTCCTCCGTGGGAACATTAAACCTGCAGGTGCGTTCGCCTCCCTCCCCAACATTAACCTGTTGGGAGTGTACCCCGTCATCCGGTTTACAGATGCCCTAAGTGCCCCGGCAATCTGTTGTAGACGCAAGTCCCAGCCGTTCTGGGCCTTCTCCGTGAAGCAGCGCACCGCATCCATGAGAGTGCGGTTATAGCGCTCTACCTGGCCATTGCTGGCCGGCCGGTACGGCGTAGTACGGGCCTTGTGAATCTCGAGCACAGAACACACTTCAGTGAACAGCTTAGATTCGAAATTCCTCCCCTGGTCCGTGAAAATCTCCAAAGGGACTCCAAACCTGGAGAAAAATTGATCTATCGCGGCCCGTGCCGTCTCCTCCGCTGACTGTGATGGTAAGGGGATACATTCGACCCATTTCGTAAATTGGTCGACCATCATGAGTATGTACTCATTTCCCCTGGCAGTCTTCGGCAACGGTCCCAAGAAATCTAAGTGCACCCTCTCCATAGGCGCACCTGCCTGGAATTGTGTCAGAGGCACTTTTCCCTGCCTTGCAGATTTCTTATTCTGGTTACACCGGGTGCACCCAGAAACAAAGTTTTTGTCGCTCTTCCCATCCCGTACCAATAGAATCGCTCCTTGAGCCGATCCTTGGTTCTTTTCGCTCCCTGATGGCCTGATGATGGCAGACAATGATGTAGTCGGATGGCTTCCTGTTGCCATGCCATGGGTAGCACTAACTTTTTATCCTCAGTCTCTGATCACACCTGTATAGCAGACCCTCTATGATGATAAACAAATCCCTATCCAGCCAATAGGATTTTAAGGCCTGGCTGCCTAGGAATAAGGTAGACTGATCAGGTAGCTTACCACTTTCCAAGCTCTCCCTGATCACACTCAGGTCTGCATCCGCCTCCTGTGCTGCACGGACCTCCTCCACCGAATAACCCCAACTGGTGAGTCGTGAAGACCCGTGGTCCTTCACCTTGACCTCACCCTCTGCTTTTCCCTCTTGAAGTGTGGATTCCTTATCACACTCCACCGTGGGAGGTTCTTCCTCAGGAGTTATCGGCGCGTCGCCTGTATCTTTAGGCCCGTGGCCACGTGCACGTCTCCGAGTAGTAACTGGAGCTACTCGAGGTGTTTCCCCTTGACCCCGGGGAATCTGATCTAACACCGTCTGTAAGACCTGGAACTCTAGCGTATCCGTGATACACTCTTCCTCTCTGCATACCTCACCGCACACCGTGTGTTCAGAGTACACATTCACTGAATCCACCGTTACTGAGCGAACCGTCTTGCCATCGTTGTTTTGCTGACCTTCTGAAATTTCAACGCTGTGGATATCCTCTGTATCCTGGTACGCACCCTGTGCTAGTGGAATAACATCATCCACTTCCTCCTCGAAACCCACCCAATTCTCGTGGGCCCGCCAGCAATACCCGCATCCACCACATGGTAGAGCATCCAGCCGCCCCCTGGTGCCTGCTTTGCACTGCCCCATGTGAGTCGCTCTAGACAGCGCGTCCGCATTCCCATGTTTGCGCCCGGCGCGATGAGACAACACCATGTCGTACTGTGAGAGCTCTTCCAGCCATCTCGCCAGCTGACCCTGCGGCTCCCGAAATTTCATCAGCCATCTTAAACTCGAATGGTCAGTCCTAATAGTAAATGGTTTCCCCAATAAATAGTACCTGAACTGTCGGGTGAATCGTACCACCGCCAAGAGTTCCTTACGTGTCGTACAATACCTCCTCTGTTCCCTGGTTAATCCATAGCTACCGTAAGCTATCACCTTCTCCTGGCCATCTTGTACTTGAATAAGCTCTGCTCCTATAGCAAAGTCACTTGCGTCTGTATCTAAAATGAACTCTCCGTCCACCGTGGGAACAGAAAGAACTGGGGGAGATGTTAATGCCCCCTTTAATGCCATAAAAGCCCGTGCTTGTTCCTCACCCCACTCGTAACTCTTTCCAGTTACAGCGTACAGGGGTGCAGCTATCTCACTGAAGTTTTTAATAAAGGCTCGATGGTAATTAGCCAAGCCCATGAATTTCTCCACATCTTTGGCACATGTTGGTGTAGGCCAGTCCGTGACAGCCTTAACGTCATGATCAGACATGGAGAGCATCTCCCCTGTCACTATCCGTCCGAGAAATTCAATCTCCTTCTTAAAGAAGGTGCATTTCTTTGGATTAAGCTTCAGCTCGTAGCTGCGGAACCTCTCAAGGGCGTCCCTTAGGTTCTGTAAATGCACATCAAAAGTAGTACCGAGTACCACTATGTCATCTAGAAATGCCAGCACAGTTTTCCAGGACATTCCACGGAAAACTAAGTTCATTATCCGAGCATAGGTCGCGGGCGCCCAGCACAGACCAAATGCCATACGCACATGCTCATAGAGACCATATTTCGTAATGAAAGCTGTCTTTTTCCGATCCTCTTCACGTATGGGCACCTGCCAATACGCAGAGTTGGCGTCTAACTTAGAAAAATACACATTACCCGACAAGGTATCCAAACAGTCATCGACTAAGGGTAATGGGAACACGTCCTTAGTGGTCACGGCATTCAACGCACGGTAATCGATACACCACCTCACAGAGCCATCTTTCTTCCGTATTAACACTGGCGCCAGCGCCCAGTCGGAAGTTGACTCCTGAATCACTCCTGCCTTCAACATCTTCTGTAAATGGGCTTCCTCCTCGCCCACAAAGCACCGTGGCGTTCGCTGCATTCTCTGCTTTATCGGAAGAGCAGTACCGGTGTCGATCTTATGCTCAACCAATGTGAAGTTTCCTAAATCAAATTCGTCTCTAGCAAACACATCTTGATACTCCGTGAGTAATCTCGCTAGCTGAACCTTCTGCTGATCGTCTAATTCTGCACTGGATTCCTCATACACCTGCTTTAAATGAGAAGGCATGCGTCGCGCCTCATCATTGACCTCGTCCGTGCCGTGACTGACTGCACTGCTGGTGGTATGCAGTGAATGACCTCCGCCCCAGGTGACCTGCCACCCTCCCCTTGGTTACTAGGGAAACATAACGGATCCCCCAGGGGCTCCCCAGACGTTATAATACCCGCATAGGTAAAAGCCCGCCCCACTTCAGTACCCTTACGCAGTAGTCTGTGCCTCTCACTGGGATTTATGAGGACCATGATGGGTTCAGACCCCCCATTACGAATAACCCTGGGAGCAAGGAACTTACCAATACCCCCCACCTTTGGCTCTATTACATAACTAGGAAGATCTACATCTAACTTACAGGCCACCCTGGCAGCGGAGTAAGGGGGTATCACCTGGCGCCGTGCGACAGTGACCCTGGCCATCTGAGGTGTTCCCTTATCTGAATTAGCGTCTAATGTCAGATACATGCCGTCAAACTGCATCACTCCTCTGCCGACATCCACTACTGCCTGTCCTAAGTCCTTCATAATGTCCATTCCCAGCAACATATCTTGTTCAATGGGGGCTACGTATAGCCTCACAGCATACCACTTATGTCCAATCTTTAACTTAACAGGGCCTGCTGTAAACCCCTGCATCACCATTTCCCGTCCAGCGGCTAAAAGCTGTACTGAATTCAACCTCTTAGGTTGTTTCTTAAGACTGTTGTAAATGCGGTCTGAAAGTATCGTAACTTGAGCCGCAGTGTCCACTACAGCATTCACAGCAATGTTTCCCACTTTCATCTGAAGTGAATAATCCGCCACTGTTCCGATTTGTCGCACCACTACCATGGGAGCAGGAACCGTGCCCTGTATTCCCCCTGTGGTAGCCTCGTCTGCCCTGGTTGGTAATTCAACGTGACCCATATCACGGTTGGGCTTGTCTTGGACTAGTGCTGCCCCCTGTCGAGTAAATTCTGATTGCACACCCTGTACCTCCGTGGGTACAGTGCACTTAATATCCGAAACTGCTGACTCCTCTGGTACCCTGAGTTTCTTAATGGGCTTATTTATAACATCTGGGCCTATGAATCGCTGGATCGAAGGTTGGCCTCCGGCCTCGACCCGGTGGAGTTTCCCACCTGCGGGCACTCCCTTGCAATGTGCCCTTGCCGATTGCACTTATAACACAGCACCGAGTTTCCAGTGCCGCCCTGTCCCCAGCTCCGCTGGTTTCCGGGTGCGGCTCCGTGGCTGTAACCGGTAGATGACCTCCTACTCAGCTCCTGGCGGACATCTTTCAACGCCTTTTCCATTTCCTTGATGGTATCCCTCATCTGTTCCAGCTCTGGAATGTTACCCTCTGCTGCAGGCGTCACTTGGTTGGCTCGCTTGGCTCCCGGGCGCAATTTCTTTCCCGCATTCTCCATAGTCACTCGCATTTCCCTATGTATCTTAGCCAGCTGCATCGCTTCCCTTAAGGTGGCTGGCTGGCGCATATAAATTGATTGAC